AATTAATTAAATAAAACCACTTCTCATAAAGAACAAGAACATGGTCTTCTTTTCAATGAAATACAAATGGTTATATAGGCTAATTATGCATCCTTTATAACAACTTGTTTACCACATTCTTCATTCTTTCAAGCAGACATATTTATTTCTATACATTTATTATTCTAGATAAAATTTTATATGTGTGTTTGTGAAAGAGATCTATCTCTCTCAATGGAAACAAGTTTCCAACACCACATATCAAGAGGTGGCCAGGCTGGACCCTGATTCTTTTAACAAGAGGTGGTTATTCACGCGACACAATAGCAGCTTTTTTAAAAATTGCATCAGAAAGACAGTTTCTCTTTGGTCGGAAAAGGTCTTTCCCTACACTAAAGAGTCGTTCACAAGCTGCACTAGCAGGGACTCCTGTGTTGTACTTCAGGAAGATCTTCTTCATCATAGGCAGGTTTTGGAATGCATTGACAAGGTTGGTTTCAGTAGATTGCAAGTAGCTGTCCACTTAATTCAGAACTGTTCTTGTTCTGAGAGATGGGAAGTATGCAGTTACTTCATCGTCATCATCAGTTGGGTGCTCGCCATCTGTCTGCATGTGATCATCTGGATACAGAGTTTGAAGTAAGTTTACTTCTGCTTTCAGGTTTGACACAACATCAGCCTTCTTTCCACTGGGCATGTATGCTAATCTGAACATAGGCTATGAGCAACCTTGCATCCTGAAAAATGTATCCAAACCTCTGCTTCACCCCATTGATGATGGCATCTATCAGTGGGTTGCAATGATGTATGTTTGCCTCATGCTTCATCTGCTCCATTGACTACACTCCGGTGTAGGCCATTTTGTCGGATTATAGTAAGTCAAGGGCCTTGGCCAGGGGCGCCATAACCTTAAAGATGCACAGAAAACACAAGGAATAAATAACACTTACTCAAAAGTAATAGTAATGATAATAATATGATAATAATAATTTCTTATTCATAATCATCATCATTCTAATAAGTAGTAGTAGTTTAACATTCAGTTAACAAACTGGGGGAAAAAATTACTACGCCAGTAAGCTCAGTTAGAGGTATGTGGCTGCCTTTATGTTCAGACAGATACATGGATTACAGCATGATCAACAATTAACTTAAGTACATATCAAAATAAAGATAATATTTACCCGAACATACTCCTGTATGAAGGTGAGTTCTGCTGCTTTGAAGCGAGTGACCAGAAGCTTCTCACAGGTGTCCTGGAGCTCTTGTGTTTTTGTCAGGATACAGGTATTCAAGCGCTCCATGGCATGGTAAGTGGAGTTCCACCTTGTTGGACTGGGAACTATCAGCTGGCACCCTAGCTTGTCTTTGATGATGTCTGAAGCTCTTAAATGAAACAGAAGAAGACTACAGTCTCCCACCTCATCAGCGATGCGCCTGCCACAGCCTCAACTTGTTTGCAACAAGAGACAGGCCTTTAGAAAAGGATCAAGATCAACAATTGGCAAATGCCAGGCACTATGGAACAAGCAACACAGATGCACACAATGTCTGTGACGTTTATTGAGACAGTGTGCCCCTCCTCTTCTTCCTCATCCTCCTCTTCTCTGTCTTGAATGGTTCTTTGAACTTCTGCAAAGACACTGAAAGCCTTTACAAAATTTGAAACCATTATCTGTGGTTGTAACGGTCACCTTGTCTTTTATGTTGAAATATCTGTGCACGTCTTCCAACAACTAAGCCAAAACATCATATGTATGACACCCTATGATCCTGCGACAGGCTAATGCCCCAGAGCAGATGCTTAAAGGGGTCATATGATGCGATTTCAATTTTTCCTTTCTCTTTGGAGTGTCACAAGCTCTTGGTGCATAAAGAAGATCTGTAAAGTTGCAAAGACTAAAGTCTCAAATCCAAAGAGATATTCTTTATAAAAGTTAAGAGTCAGCCACACCCACCTAAAATGGCTCATTCTAACACGCCCCCACATATCTACATCACTATGTGGGAAATTTGCATAACGCCGCCCAAATGTTCACGCAAAGAAAGAAGGCGTAATTTTTATTTTCGCTGTAGTATTGTTGTTGCCGCCGCCATGTCGTGAAGGCACTGTGTGATTCGGTGTGAAAGCGAAACTACTTTGTTTGGCCTTCCAAAAGAGAAGAAGAAGCTTCCTGGAGCTGATCCGTGTTGGTTGCTGAGGAAATACTACAACTTTGCACTGTGGATCGCCGGATCGGCTTTCACCGTGGACGAAGCGGAGTCCAGCCCGGAGTCGTCACATGTCCTTCTGGATGCTCCTTCGTCGAAATCCCCGGCCTCGACTAGAAATCAGTGGTTAAAGGTACAATAGGAGATCTTGGAAAATGCTAACTTTAGCCTGATAGCACTGAAAGCGAACGTCCCACCCTTCCTGCAATCGCCGTCCAAAGCCACGCCCCCTGAACGCATATATGCTCACAACTCCATAACTGCTCTACTATTCTCGATCTCTACAGATTCTCGATCTCGAACAAGCAAATCACCAAACGGCATTCTGGGTTGAGCGAGGGGCGCTGAGCGTATTGAGCGAGCGGAGCGGAATCTTCAGAAAGGCGCTCTGCGCTCTTAAGGAAATATTACCACTCCGCTCCGCTCACATGCTCTGTCCATGGAGTGCATTTTAGTTGGGTGAACCCTCTACAAAATGTTAAAAAACATCATAATTTCAGAATAATCGAAACTTTCACTTTTAACTGTTCCTTCATTATTTCAAACACTCGACTGATGTTGTGGAGTAAAATGACGTTATTAAATGTTCTCTTTTGTTGGACGTTTTCTTTAAGTTTGGGGTGTTGCTTTTTAAAATGCATGTTATAAGCGACTCAAACTCACAGCGCTTGCAGAGATCCAGCAGCATTTACTGCTATGCATGTATTTATTTAATTAAAAAACACACTGCCTATATAAATAACAATACATTAATCTTCAGCATGATGCGGGCCACAAAATTAACCCAGACTGGCCGCCTGTTGAGTACCCCGGAGTTAGCTGTTGACAAGTTGCTAGCTGGTGTGAGCATCTTCTTTTTGGGGTTGCACAATAAGCATCTGAAAACATACTTTTTCCTCTGTTGTCTCAGTCAGTATCATGTACTTCTCGAGGTACGGCCACGGCGACTCCCCCTCTGGATCAATTCCTCTCCGTCCTACACCCTCTGCCATCTTTCCATCAAGTAAATTTCTCGCTTGTCAGCCCAAGGATGTCACCGTCCGGTGCAGAAGGTGGCGTTAACACACCAAAAAGCTTGTTGCCAACCGCAGTAAGAAGAAGTCACTGTCATTACTTCAGCTGCATAGGTCTGTGTACTGCGTCATTTACTGATCTAGGATCAGTGATCCTAAGCAGTTGTATTTCCGATTTGTGCTTGAGCTTCAGAAATGCTTGGGAAAATGTAACGTTAGCTTGTGTGGACGCTACCGCACTACTTGATCAATAAAAGAGCTTCGCTACTGAAAAGCTATTTGATTCAGAAAACAGCGACGCTACCACCACGCTACTGAGAAATGTAGTTAAACTAGTAGCGTCACTACTTGTATTAAAAAATGTTTCCTA